TGTTCTGATTAATGTTTGCTCATCACTTTCTGTTCTGATTAATGTTTGTTCATCACTTTCTGTTCTGATTACTGTTTGTTCACCACTTTCTGTTCTGATTACTGTTTGTTCATCACTTTCTGTTCTGATTACTGGATGTTCGTCACTTTCTGCTCTGATTACTGTTTGTTCATCACTTTCTGCTCTGATTAATGTCTTTAAAGTTTTACTTTGAAACATCTGAAGTCATTGCTGGTTTACGCCCTTGCCCACGCACCTGTGAAGTGGAAGCACCAGAGCCTCATTTCCCCTGCCAGCATTTAAGCAGAGGGATGGCAGCAATTCATCACCAGATCATTGTGTGACTCGCACTCCCTTGAATTGTCCTTTTTTTTCTTGAGTCGGCTGCGAGCAGCGAGTGACCAAAGAGGATGGAGTCCGTTACCGCCCCTTACGCCACTGGTTTTCCCCTGTTACAGCAACATAAACCCATGTTGGATTGGAAAAGGGAATGCCTTGTGGGGTAAAGGGGTGGTGCCATACGACCTGTTTAAAAGCCACCACCCTCTCTGTCAGTTTACTGAATCCCTCTGTCACACAATCCACCTTACCATTCTTCAGTTCCATCTGTTTATCACGACCTTGAAGAGACTCACGTCTTCCTTCAACAGTTGCCGGTGCGATTATTATTAAACTAGTGGTACATGTGCCACAGTCTGAGAATGACTGACCTAGGAGATTGAGTTTGGCATATAGGAGGCCCAACGAACTGAACCGGACCCTGGGACTGTCCCTCCAGGACTCTTTGTTCCCTCCTCTGTTAGGTCACTGGGCACGCACAACCACATTCACCTGGCACCCAGGGGTCCACCACACCATCTCATTCATTTAAAGTAGAGCAGGACGACATGGCAAAAAATATGTATCACGATATATATTTGAAAATTTGCGCTAACAATATAACTGACGATATAATTGATGCGAGACAAAATACAACTGCACAACTTTACTAGCACAAAAAAAAAATCTATTTTCACTTAAACAAGCAGCTGTTTTATAAAAATTTATAAAAATTTAAAAAATTTAACAGTGCAAATGCAAATTCCTTGCTGAAAGTTTAGAAATGGGCTGACACATCCTGAGCATAACCATGTAAAATATCCACTGAAGTTAAAAAGAGGTGCAACATTAAACTGCAGTGTGCCAAATAAAAAAGTAAAATACGTATTTTTCGAGCCATAAAGTGCACGGGATTATAAGGCACATTAAGCGAAACAAAGCAGTCAGATAAATCAAGCTTTATTCAACTCCTACTTCTTGCTTCCTCCACTTCTGTACCATTGATTCATTAATGGTACAGAAGTGTACCATTAATGCTGTATTCTATCACAGCTGCTCTATTCCCATGTTGTTGCAGTGTATTAATGACTAACCTTCTATTGTGGATGGATTATCTCAGTTGTTCTCCTGACTGAAGTTTGGTCCGTTTACAGCATTCTGCCATGCAATTGCATTTGTCTCTAATCATCAGGAACCTTCACGTTAACTTTTATCGAGTGGAAAAGCGTTAGCGTTCATCCTCCAACGTTGCTGTTTATGTTATGCTAACATAGCTGTGTCGCTAGCGATCACGTAGCACATCATTATATACCACCTAGCCCAACTTCAGTAACCTTACCAACGTCACTGCTGTTTAGTTTCCTGTCTTCATTTATGTTGGAAGTGATAGCAGAGCTGCACGTTTTAATTTTTTCAGAAATCTCTTAGTCAGAACATGCTATATCATGCTTAGGTAACTAGCGAAACTAGCGAGCTAACTTCCACTAACTTCCTGCTAACTTTTAACTTCGTTAAATGTAATAAATTCTGTTTTCATGGATGCCCAGATGTTAAACTTCATAGTTACACCTGGTAAAGCAGCAATGCTGATTGTTTTATTAAAGATGAAAGAATTTAGACAGTTTTTAACTCTCAGTGATGCTGCCGTGTTCGTTTGACTTCGGGACCTGAAGCGGAGGGAGTTTAGGACCCAGATTACTCCCAGATTTACAAGCACTTTAGTCCGACAAATTCGGCAATAACGACGGTCTGCTTGCATGTTCTACAAAAAAATGTGCTTTGGTGGGTATCTGACAGACAAACACCAAACCAGTTCCACATCACTGAAGTGGCACCATTTTTACAAACCAATTGTGGTTCATCCGTTTCACTCAATAAGATGCTTTCTCCCTTCTCATTCTCCGTTGTCGCCATGCTTTTTCGTCCATGTGCGTATGAAGACAAAGGCACTGCGCATTCGCGTTTTACCCATATTCATTTTCTTATCGTTGCCTAACATTGTACCGGTATTACCGTGAACTGTATAATATGGCCAAGCCCTAATTTAAAGCTTTGCTTAGTGGCCTACTCTCGCCAAAGATGTCCGTGAGTACATTTCTGCCTGGCCAGTCTGCGCACAGAACAAGACCTCTAACCAACCAGCCTCTGGCGTGCTCTGATCCTTGCCGATGGCAGGCCATCCCTGATCACATATCACCATCGACTTTGTCACGGGCCTGCCACCCTAATCAGGTAACACAATCATCCTATCATTGGTCGTTTCTACCTAAGCTCCCCACAGCTCTGGCAACTGCCTGGCTCCTAACAACTCACGTACTTCGTCTTCATGGTATCCCTGCTGACATTGTCTCTCACCGAGGCCCACAATTCACATCACAAGGCTGGAAGGTGTTCTGTTCGGTTCTGGGAGCCCAGATTAGTGTTTCTTCTGCTTTTCATCCACAGACAAGTAAACAGAGAACAGGCTAACCAAGAGCTTGAGGCAGCCCTCCAATGTGTGGCCTCTACCCACCAGACCACCTGGAGCAAACATCTCCCTTGGATCGAATACTCGCGTAACAGCCTCACCTCTTTGGCCACTGGATTGTCTCCCTTCGAGGCATCCCTGGCTTCTTTAAGTTTCTTTAATTTTTTAAGCTTGTGTTTTGGATGAACCCGTTTGTGTCTCAGTGTGTGGCTTGATTTCCACCACTTACTTTTAGAACTGAAGAAGCTTTACTGGTGAAACTTGCAGACCATTTTCTTTCCAAGCTCCTTTGATCACTGACGCTTGTTTTTCTCTTTGTAAAATGAAATTTAAATTGAATTTTGAATAAAATGTGTTTTTTCCTTTCTCCCTCAGAGTGCAGACATGTCAGCTGCCAACAATCTGAGATCTGAAAATCAGTTTCTGTGCTCCATCTGTCTGGATGTGTTCACTGATCCAGTCACTACATCATGTGGACACAACTTCTGCAAAACCTGCATCAGTCAGCACTGGGACATGAATGTCATCTGTAAGTGTCCCTTGTGTAAAGAGACTTTCTACACTCGACCTCAGCTGAGGGTCAACACCTTCATCTCTGAGATAGTTGCTCAGTTCAGACGTGAAGCTCAGCAGAAAGCCAGCAGCAGCAGCTCAGAGCAACAAGCTGCCAAACCAGGAGAAGTTCCCTGTGACGTCTGCACTGGAACCAGACTGAAGGCCCTGAAGTCCTGCCTGGTGTGTCAGACCTCCTACTGTCAGACTCACCTGGAGCCTCATCTGACAGTGAAACGTCTGAAAAGACATCAGCTGATTGTTGCTGTGGAGAACCTGGAAGGCAGGATGTGCATGAAGCACGATAAACTCCTGGAGCTGTTCTGTAAGACCGACCAGACATGTGTCTGCATGCTCTGCTCTGCTTTAGACCACAAGAACCACGAGTTTGTTCCTCTGAGAGAAGAATATGAAGGAAAGAAGGCAGAGCTGGAGAAGACAGAGGCTGAGATTCAACAGATGATCCAGAAGAGACGACTGAAGATTCAGGAGATCACAGAGTCGGTGAAGATGAGTAAAGATGCTGCAGACAGACAGAAAGCAGAAGGTGTTCAGGTCTTCACGGCTCTGAAGGAGTCTGTTGAGAGACGCCTGAAGGAGCTCATGAAGGAGATCGAAGACAAACAGGAAGCTACAGAGAAACAGGCTGAAGGTCTCATCAAAGATCTGGAACAGGAAATCTCTGAGCTGATGGAGAGAAGCTCTGAGGTGGAGCAGCTCTCACGCTCTGAAGACCACCTCCACCTCCTCCAAAGCTTCTCCTCCCTGAAAGCTGCTTCACCCACCAAGGACTGGACAGAGGTCAGAGTCCGTCCACCATCATATGAGGGGACTGTGGTGAGAGCTGTGGAGACACTGGAGGAGACACTCTGGAAAGATATGAATGAGCTGTTTGAGGCGGAGCTGCAGAGGGTGCAACAGTATGCAGTAGATGTGTCTCTGGATCCTGATACAGCACATCCTTATCTCATCCTGTCTGATGATGGAAAACAAGTGAAGTATGGTGATGTGAAGAAGAAACTTCCAGACAATCCAGAGAGATTTTCTCCATGTCCTAATGTTTTAGGAGAGCAGAGTTTCTCTTCAGGCAGATTTTACTTTGAGGTTCAGGTTAAAGGAAAGACTAAATGGGATTTAGGAGTGGCGAGAGAGTCGATCAACAGGAAGGGAAACATCACATTGAGTCCTCAGGATGGTTTCTGGATTGTGAGGTTGAGAAATGGAAATAAGTACAGTGCTTGTGCTTCACCTCCAGTCCGTCTCTGTCTTCATCCTGGTCCTGAGAAGGTGGGGGTGTTTGTGGATTATGAGGAGGGTCTGGTCTCCTTTTATGATGTAGGTGCTGCAGCTCTGATCTACTCCTTTACTGGCTGCTCCTTCACTCACAAACTCCACCCATACTTCTGTCCCAGTAACAATGATGGCGGTAAAAACTCTGCACCTCTGATCATCTGTCCTGTAAATCAAACTGAGTTGATAAACGACTGATTTTATTTGATGAACTGATTGATTTTTATTGAGGAGAACAAATGAACATATTGAGCATAATACTCTCCATGTTTTCTATAGAATCTGATTATCAGGACTCTGACTTTGATCTGATTCTCATGGAATTTGACGCAAACAGAAGAAAAGTTGAATCAGGAAATGTTCCTACTAATGGAGACTCAAGCTGAAGAATCATGTGTGGGTGTTATACGGAGCATTCAGTTTTCAGCTGAGGGGAGTTGGATAAAAAGTGGTTTGGTTATTTTGGGTCTGTGAGGATTTTTGATGTGTTTACTGAAAACTGATAAGACGGGATAATATTCAAAGAGTGGTGGAGAAAGGAGAAGGTGAAGTACAGACTGCTGCATCCTTCTAGTCACATAATTTTGATGTGATGATTATATTTCCATGTTCTGATGATTTGGTTTAAAGATAAACATAGAGTTGGAAAATGGCTGCAATCACAGCATGAATGAGAAGCTGAAGGCTATATTTGTACTTGTTTTGTCCACTAAACTTTGTCTTTGCTATGCCTCTGCTTGTTTATATGAGTAATGAGCCTGATGGCCTTTTGTAACAGTTACAACATTTGCACTGGCTATTATAATCTCCTAGGGTGTAACTCCCTCTCCCCGCATGTGGCATTGTCATCACCCTTTACTTACATTTATGTTTTCCGCCTTCATGCTGCTACATTTGGTTAATTAGCGCTTCTAAATTTCCTGTAGTCCTGAATGGTTATGTGTCTCTCTCTTGACCTGTCCACGGCAGAGAGCAAGCTTGGGTGAGCTAGTGTTGAACATCTACACCTGCAGGAGCCTTATTAAGACTTATTGTTCATTCTCCTGCCAGTGGTGGAGGAGACTTCTTTACTTTCTTTCGGTTGAAGAAGAGGCCTCGCAGTCCGGCTGTCTCACTGATGACATTGAGGGATTAGCGGCTGCCATCTATTCCAGACCTCGAGTGTTTGAATCTAAGTACTCACACACATGTTCACATTCAGTGCTGTGCATTTTCTTTATTTGGCTGGACAGCTATCACAATTATTTTCTCATTCACAAAGAGTATACAAAGACATTTTGGTTAGTACCAAATAGACACACTCTGATTACGGACTGAGGAGGCTGCAGTTTTGCAACCCCAGGACTGAGAAGAAGACTCTATAAATACCATACTCACATATCTCCAGGCTAAGAGAAGGGTAATTGATGCAAATATTTTCTTTTCATCTTCTAATCTTTGTTTAAACTTTATTCCAAGAGAACTGTAAGTTGTTCAGGTTGTAAACATATTCACCTAGATCATCTTACAATGCTGATATTGCAGCCATTCCCCAACTTTCTGTGAATGGTACTCATGGCCATTGGACAATGGACTTTCATCAGTAATTGTAGATCAATGGTCATGAGAATTTGCATATTAATGATCACGAAACTGACCTCAAACCCCCATTGTTCATTCAGTGGGCTGGTTTCAGTCATTATGCAAATGTACAGTTTATAAGATTGCGAAAAACTGCAGTCAGCTGAGACTGAAGAAGTCACTCAGATGAGTGATGAAACATGTCCCCCACTGGAAATGTTATGACCAGTTGAACAAAAACTACTTTGGGAAATATTAACCTAGTGTTGGTTAAGTTTCCTTCGATTTGCCAGTATCAAGCTGATGTGTGAGAGGGTATGTTAGGAAGTCCTGGAGGTGTTAAAGTAGCATGTGTTCCAGTCCATCAAGTGAGGTATTGAACACTGATGGTAAACTGCCATTAGAAACCTAATTAAATTGTCCTCTGTTGGTATTAATATTGTTTCGATTATTCCTTGGTGAGGAAGCAGAAAATTATTTGAAATAAGTTTACCATGGGTTTGTTTTTAAGAGCTTGATCAATTGCAGCAGAGACATTACTTCAGTTGAAAAGTAATTAGTTATTGTTACTATTTACCACTTCAAAAAAGTTACTGTTACTGAATTAGTAACTGAGTTACAATTTTATAAAAGTAACTAATTACAGAAAAAGTAACTACTGTTGTACTTTAAAAAAAATGTTTAACAATAAAAATTTGGATCCCCTCTGAATGGAACTAAAATACTAAAATATAAATTAATGAACATGCTAAAACTTCTATTCTTTTCTTTATTTAATAAAGTTTAATAAATTTCATAAGTGTTATTTTTTTAAGTGAATGCTTTCTGTTTTTTCTTCACAGCAGAAGGTCTGCTCTTTAGTCATACATCATACAACATCATAAAGTCTAAAATAAAACATGATTGTCACTGTCTCTGCAGCCACTGTAGAATGACAGGCCTTGTTCCATAACTCCATGCACTTTGTTGTAGGGCTTCTATATACAGTGGAACCCCAACCGACGAAATTAATTCGTTCCCGAGGGTCTTTCGTAAGTCGAAAATTTTCGTAAGTCAAAGCACCCATTGCGCGTTTTGAGTGAGGCGATGCTGAACGATAGACTATAGGATAAAGCCACAGAAATGAAGACTGGAAATAAAACGAGACGTTTCAGTCACACAGCAGAGCACTCAGCTGTTAGTTAATGTGATGACATTGAGCTGTGTTTGTTCAATAGGAGTTGGTAGCAGATGTAGAGGTGGTTCTTTAACTGATACGGTGGCTTTGAAAACATTCTCATATCCCAGCACACAGAGTAAATCATGTATTATTATGTGAAGTGGCGATAAAACCGAATTAAAAATTGAAAAGTGCTGTAGTTGTGTTTAACTCCTGCATCTCGGTCACTTCTAATGACACATAAATCAATGTTCAGAAGTCCTTGCTGTGTGTGAGGAAGTGACAGCAAAGACGAAGCTCTTCTTCTCTTCGTGTCTTTGATCAACTACTTTTGTTTTGATTGTCATGATCACGGTCGCTCTCACTGTGTGCGAGAAAATCTGGATCCTGTTCTTATATGAATGATGCTAATCTCCATCTGTCGTTATCATAATCTGTGATCATCCCAGCACTGAAACAAACTAACAGTTCACCTGTAACTCAGTTTGTAATCCACATGTCTGAACTACAGATGAACGTGATCGGCTCAGACGCTACTTGTCTGCATTTTTATTCTCTCCTTTCTTCTGCAGCTTAAGGACTGAAGCAGTGTGTGCATTACACCAGAGATTTGGATTTTCTTCTGCTTTTAATAAGCCTGAACTAACAGAATGCTTTCTACTCTATTTTGCTTGTAACTGTAGGTTTTTAATATGAAATAAAACCATTTAAGCACAAACATCATAAATGATCTAAACATCAGATATTATCTGAGGAGTACCAGCCAGACAGAGTCAGGCTCACCTTAATGCACAACTTGGGAGAGAATTTTATAACGTTGACACACTGATCATCAGACACCTTCACGAGACAGGGAGTAATGTATCAATCACGAGTATGAGCACGCAAATATCTGTGGAGATTCTTTTCTGAGGGCGGGTTACACCGAAGGACGGCTTTGTCACTCCCTCCTTGACAAAGCAGTCAGAGATGTGCGTATAGTGCTTATCATTGCTAATCAAGCCAGTAAAGTAAGATGTTCTTGCAGCGTTTAGTCAGTTGAACAAGGTTAATAAGGTCTTTTTCCACATCTGTTCAGCTTTTCTACAGAATATAATCCTGCATCCAAGAGGAAGGATTGACGGTTTGAAATAAGCTGTATTTTAAGGGGCTACACAATGGAGAGCTAATCGACATGTATTATTAAAACAATTGAGGTTACCACAGATTTTTGAAAACGTGGATGTTTAAATAAGGCAGAGAGATTAGAATATAAGTGCAGAATTCAGATATAGCTTCTGAACTTTAGAATGAATTATGTAGTAGTCATTTTGTGGAGTATGTCTTACTCGGCTTGTTTACACTCTGCCTGAGCACTCACACCACTTTATACAACACGCCTCATTAATGGCACAAGCTTTAAGTGCTTTCTATCCCACACTCACACTGCAGTGGGCTGTGGAGAACAACCTGGGGTCAGCATCGTGCCCGAGGATATTTGGCATGCAGACTGATAGATGTGCTCCCTTCTGAACCACGGCCACACTATGAGATCACATCCTTCTAATTACAAGGATTATGTTTCTTCCCTCAGGAGTTGGGATGATGGGCAGTGAGTACGACTGAACATAGAGATGGGAGGAGCTGAGGAAAGCATGAAAAGCTCTGAGACAGAATAATTGGCTATTTATTATTTCACTCAATGGCATGTAAATCAATTCATAATCCTGCTAATGTGTTTTTCTTTCAGAATCTCTGGTTGCTATGCTCTCTCACAATTAAAATGAATCCACAGTTCATTTCTTTTCAAACGTTCAAACTCAGAGTCTTTTTATCTTTCATGTTGTTTTTACGTTGTTCTAGTGCAACACTCAGGCTGTAGTTTCCAGTTCCTGTGTATTATCTGCACACATGGTTTCTGACAATAAAGCTGACTTTGACTTGGAACATGTCGTGTCAGCAAAAGCTCTGGATAATGTTTCAGTGAGTCCTGTTCTCCAGACAAGAGATGCTATTTGGCAATAATAGCAATAATTTTCCACATGGAAAATCTTTCTATACAACTTTGTTTGCAGTGTGAGCTTCACTTCTATTTGTAGAAGTAAATACAAACACTCATGTTCTCTTGTCCTCTTATACTCTGTTCAGGTCTGTTAAAGGGTTATTATTTTGCTTTTCTACAATCTGCTATTTGCTGACATGTTCAAATAATTTGTTGGTTAGTAAAGAAACAAGTTGATAAATAATGAAGTGAGATTAGGACACAGTTTGGTGCTTTCTGACCGCTTTCTGTCATCAAACAGGGCTGAGGAGGAAAACCAGCTCAGAGAGTTTGAAGGTTCTTCAATGACACAGTAGAAGAAGAGCTGTGAGGCCACAGTAAAGTTTCAGAACTGAACTAACTCTATCAGATTTTCCACAAACACTGATCAACACACTTATTAAACCTCCTGTCATCTAACCCTCGTTTTTGCTGAGTTCTCCCTGTTTTACCTTAATCTGAATTTGTTTTTCATAAATCCAAATTTGAGCCGACACACTGGACATCTCAAAAAAACTCAAAAACACAAAGTTCCTCTTCAGGGATGAAAGTAAAAAACTGTAATTTGGAATCTTAATGGAATACAATCTGGTTAAATTTTATCGTTTTATCCATGGAACTGAAAATTCATGGATCTGAGCATTGAAATATCATTTTTTTAAAGAGGTCGTGCACACTGCTGGATTGACTGTATTTAGTCAGCCGTGGCAGAAACCTGGGATTGGTAATAACTATGATAATCTCCTAAAACTACATGGCTTTTTTTCTCCTGCTGATTAAAATAAAACCTTAACAAAGCTGAAGAACTCAAAGTGCATCAACCATTTCTTTCACCATCATTCTGTAAAACGCCGGCGAACGCTCCCAGTGTTTGATACCATTTATCCCAGTGTTTCCCTACCACTGTGGCGCAGCACATAGGTGTGCCCTGAGAAATGATCAGGTGTGCCGTGGACGATTATCTGGTTCCACCTGATTAGTCCTCGAAGTAATCGAGTAACGGGTGGAACAATTACATTCTCTTCCACTAGAGGGTAGTACAACTACCAGCTCTATTTAAATGAGTTGCCAACTGGCAGTAAAACAATCGGACCTGGTTCTGGAGAAAACTCAGATGCAGATGAAGGTCCTAGCAGGAGTAGTGGTCAGAAGAAAGTACAACAGGTACACTGGGGACAAACCGAGCCAATACCACTGTACCTGGTGTGCAGGGAAAAACTATCAATATACTTTCTGTGATATTTTTGTTTGGTGGTGTGATTTTTCTAATGTGAAATATGTGCCGTGGCTCCCAAAGGTTGGGAACCAGTGGTAAATAAATGAAATGCAGTAAATAACTTGAGAGAGGTGCACAGAGATTTCAATGTTTGAAGATGCTAACAATGTCAAACAAAGCTTTCATCCAATAATTCAGTAATTCATCAGTAATTTGAGGGTTATTGATCGATCAGTGAACAGATCAGGTTCTGATTGAGAAACTCAGAGTGAGGACTTCAGAGTTTTCAGCTTTAGAAACATTTAATTCTATCAGAGGATCCATCCGCTCAAACATAATGCTCAGTGGTGTCATCATGCTCGTCAACATCCAATGGCGTCTCCATGGAGACAGCATGTTTGTTACCTGTGGGCAGAGTGGAGAAATCAGGACAGTGCTGACGTGATCAAAGTGTTTCTGTGAGTATCTGCCTGAGTTTGTACCTGAGCTCCTGCTGCAGCAGATGGACAGGAGCAGGATGGTGCAGATGCAGGACGGGCAGAAGGTTGGTGAGAGGAGGAAGAGTGGACAGAGAAGAACTGGCCTCAGAAACTGGAGGTGGAGGGACGGACTTTCTGAGAGTATTTATAGGAGACCCTGCAGGAGACATGATGAAACAGGTTAATGAGTCAG